AAAGAAAAGAAAAAAAAAAACTATGTCAAGCAGTAGACATCTGCCATTGGTACAGTAGCCTATCTTAAGCCGGACACTCACAGCGTCGTACTACGAATCCCCATTTGCTTCCGGCGAGAGATAGACGACGCAACGCCGCGGCGCGCCTTCTGCTGATTATCAGTGGCAATCTGAACGGATCTTCATTGAAGACCATCCGTTGGGTTCGCGTCTTCGCGTGCGTCCTTCGTCGCGTTGTCGTCGCGTCGCCGTCGCACGCAGTGAGTTACATGCAAGCAACCCTTCTATACACTTCCAGAGCAAGGTCTATTATTTAAACTGCGGGATTAAACTACTGGCATTCTGAAAATGAACAAACTATAATTGTTTCTATCAAATTCGCCAATTTACAAACAAGTTACTATACACTTAACCTTTACCTTTATGTACTACTTATTTCCTAAAAGTACTGAACTAGAGGGATCTTAAAGATGTATTGTCCCTTGCTAATGTCAAACAATCATAAAAAAATAATTTTGAAATAAACTTGCTCATATTGCAATAACATACAACTTATTAACTTGGGCATAAAAATTATTGAATTTATAAAAATGTGTACCCTGATTTTTAAACCAAAAAATTATAATAAAAAATAATAAAACACTTCCAGTGACTGGAAGTGTTTCTATCATTTTTCGCTGTAAACTGATGGGTAGACAATTTTTAAATACATTAATTTTTGTGTTCAAGTTGATAACTTTTATGTTACTTAAAAATGGACAAGTTAATTTCAAAAAAATATTTTTATGATTTTTTATTTTGGTATTTAGCATTGGACAATACATTGTTAATATTGTAATTTTTTTTTTTTCTTTATGTTCTGTGTTGTTTTTCTTGAGATTTTAATGTTTTATGTGTACTGGGCCCTCTGGGAGAACAGTAACTTCTTACTGAAGAGGTAACCCAGTATAAAGAATAAATAAATAAATAAAATAAAAATATTGGATTTGGGGTGTAGTTTATTGTCACAATGATTACCAGAGGAGTATACAGAAAGTCGGTCAGGACCGCCACATATTTCTCCTGAGTTTCCCACACATGCCATATTACATGAAGACTCTGTGCGTATACCATGGACGTCATAAGTGTCATCATCACAAAAACATTCCCTGCTAAACTCCAAACCAGCGTACGGATAGCCTTGATAATAACAATGTTGTCTGCAGACGTCTATCTCCATATTATTGCTGTAGAAATATCCATATGGCATTGCTCTGTCTGACGTCACATCCTTAAAGCATCCTCGGTACCCTCCTGTTATAACAAACAAACAAAAATCTACTGATAGGCCTATTACAAGTATACGGCCTACATTGCAGGTGAATGAAGTATCTCACACAAATACTCACATAAACAGGGGTGGCGCCAGGATTTGCCCGACGGGGGGTCGAAGCTCCCTGACGAGGGCATCCCAGGTCCCCGACGTGGGGGTTGGGGATGGGGATGGCGGCTTGTCGCACAAAATTATTCGAAAATAGTGACAATATAACAACAATAGTGTAATATTTAGCTGAAGAGGGTATTAGAATGCGGATTAAAAGCTACTGGTGAGAAATAATCTTAATTTCCTAGCTTAACATAAATGAAATTCGATATAATAATGATAATGACGATGATGATAATGATAATATAAAAGTGATAAGGATAACTTTAATAAATATTAATCATTTAAGTGTACTGCACACCATACTTACTGATCATCGTATTTGTTGTTGCAGTGCTGTCGTCTCGATCAGTTGTAGTAGGAAGGGTTGTAATCACATCTGTAGTTGGAAAGCTTAGAATTTAATTTGCAATGAAAAAATGTTCTTAGAGGATTTGGTGTTATGTAATGTAGTTAGGTTTATTTAGCACTCGAGGTGTGAACTAGCTATTACAGTAACTTGCTTCTCCCTTATGGTTCTATTTATGTATGAGCCACTAGATGTACTAGATTCTTAAAAGTATCTACTTCGGGACCAAAACAGTTTTTTCGTGAAGGGGTATACTTTTTAGGGGGACATTAATAATAAATGTGAAATCGTCTAGTTTTGGCACGTGGTCATACAACGGTGACACAGATACAAAATGTATCTGTGTCACCGACTAACGAGTTTTAATATAGGCCTAATACTCAGTAATACACAACACGCCCGTGTTCAGACACAATGGGCAGTACAGCAGTTTAATCTCCCTGGCTTAATATTGATTTTTGTTCTGTGATAATCACCTCTATTAACATTTTATCTTGTAGAAAGGTGCCATACCCAAGGACCAACTGCCAGAGACACATCTGGAAAGGTAGTCCAATCTGCCACTGAGTATTAGGCCTACTGAAAACCGGTTAAAGTATTTTTAACAAAATTTAGATGGAGGCGCGCAGATGTGTGTTATGGACTTGTGTGCACACTATTATATCATAGGAAACTACTCACTTTTATATCATAGGAAACTACTCAAATGAAACATCTCACCTGCTTCACATACGAAACGCATACTATAATTACAACTCGTTGGATGCCAGAAGTTATTACCGGCACTTGAAATAATGGCACAGCTTGAATGAGGATTCTGATACACACCCCAATCTATGAAAATATCGTAATATAATTATTTTGTAGTTCGGAATTGACCAGGGAAATATCGTACGAATGCCAGCACCTTTGTATATACCCCGGAATGTGAAAGGCGCCATATAAATTCGTTTAAAAAAAAAAATTAAAAATAAAGATAATAAAAAAAAAATGAACTAAATTAAAGAAATCATCATGTGTATATATAATTGCTAATACTATTTCAACAATGCACAGGTAAAGTGGCCCCATAATGATGTTAATATACAAAAACACTATCATCAGCAGAGTTCTCAATGGTACACTACAGTAATACTGTATAACAATGAACTACGAAATTCAACAAGTTTAATAGCTTCTTTTTACTATTAGCCTACAGGTTAGGTTTAGTTACACATAAAGGCTAATCAAAAGGCTATTGTTCACGATCTGCTTCTCCAATCATTTGTATGCAAACTCGTCTTTAATTGTATCACTTGATCCACCTGATGAGAATCAGCTTTGTTGACTATACAAAGCAAATATGTATTGGAATAAATGTATTTTATTTTGAAATAACCGTTAACTACATTGTATTACACAATGACGGTGCACCTCGAGAGGGCGTTAAGTACGTAACATATAATAATAATAATCAAAATTATTGATATATATATATATAGGCCAATATATGTATATATGCACTGTCTGTATATATATGCATATATATACATACATATACATATAGGCCTATATAATATATATATATATAT